AGCATAGGTTTCCAGCGAAGGCAGAAACTCTGCAGGAGTAAAACCCTATAATATATATGTTAACTACCAGTCCTGCCTTTTTAACTCTGCACTACACTTTACTGCTGTTTGCTCAACACGTAGAGGCAGGGCAATAACTTCTGGCTGATTTCAGGTGAATCTGTGTTTGACAAATCTCGCCGGCCACAGCCACATTTTTCCTGTCTGTCATCAACAGCCTCAGTGTCCCCACCTGTTCTGAGGATTTCCAGACTCAGCGGTGAAGACAGCGGCGTCCTACTGCGGTGTGAATCCAGAGGCTGGTACCCGGAGCCTGAGCTGCTGTGGCTGGACGCTGAGGGAAACCTCCTCCCTGCTGGACCTACAGAGACAGTCCCAGGTCCTGATGGCCTCTATACTGTCAGCGGCAGAGCCACTGTGGAGCAGAGACACGGCAGCAGCTTCACCTGTAGAGTCCAACAGAGCAACACCAACCAGAGCAGAGAGACTCACATACAGGTTGCAGGTAGACAAACTGGTACTTTGTATGTTCACGGTTTGGTTTCATGCTCACGGGTCTAATTGTTCATCTTGTGTCATTTCAGATGATTTATTCACAGTGACTCCGTCTCCTGTCGGTCGTGTCCTCATCGTCTTGGCTGTTTGCATCACGTGTGTCCTCACGTTCATCTTGGCTGCGTTTATAACAGGACGCCAGAAAACCAGTAGGTCACAGACTCAGTTCTCTGTGTGTTTTTCTTAATGTTGTCATTAGTTTCACCAAAACACACTGACACAAAGTAAATCACATTAGTAGTGACACAAATACTTTAAATTTTAATTTTTAACATGTTGATGTTTCATCATCTTCTGAAGGACAAACTGCATTGTGGGTCATTTTTTGTTTATCAGTTTGCCAGATGTTTAATTTGGTTTTTATCTAAAATGAAATGTTTCTTAACCCAGAACCTTGTTATAAAGAAACTACAGTCGTTCTTTAATCACCTAAAGAATATTAGATAAACACATAAGTTTTGTTGGTTGTGTATTTCTGTAGAGAACAAACTGCACCATGCTGATGAAACTGGACAGAAAGAACATGAGACAAACACCCCCGACATCCAGACAGAACGTCAGGCTCCTATGGGGTCAGAGGGAGAGACGTCACAGCTCCTGGTCTACAGGGAGACAGAGAGTCATGTGACGTGGGAAAAGGAAAAACTGGATGAAGAACTAAAGAGAAATGATGAAGAACTGGGTGATGTGCTGCAGATTATTAAGATGTTAAATGAGCAGAAGGATGATGTGAAGAACCACAGAGAGAAAGTCTGTGAGACGCTACAGGAGATGATAGAGAAGATAAAGAAGGACAAAAAGGAGAGTGAAAATACCAAAAAGCAGAGAAGAAGAGCAGCACGTGATGAAATATTACAGAAGTCAGACAAACTAATGAAGACCACAGATGAGATGATTCTTAAAATGACAGAGATGAAGGTGAGGTTAGAGAAAGACACAGAGCAAGTTAATAAACAACTGAAGAAAAGAGACGAGAATCAGAGGAAACTTCTATCAGAGCAGTCGGAGAGAGAGGGGTGAAATCTGTGGTTCACTGACTGATAAATGGACATTTAGGCTGTGAAGTCTCATTTGACTTTGTGACTTGTTTGCTGTTGTCACTTCATTCTCTTCAGTTTCACTCTTAAAGGAGAATTAACATCCATCAAATGGAAACTTCTGTTTGTCTTTGTCCTGCTGCAGTGAAGCTGATTTACTCTGCAGGGTTTTATACCTTTATTCTATATTATTACTCTGCTCGTAGCAGCGTCTGTCAATATACTGTGATGTTATAACATGTACTGCATCACTCAGTAATGGTTCTTATGAATCTTTTCTAAACTGACAATAAATACAGAAGGTGTGATTTAAACAAGCCAGGAGAATAAACCGAATGTTCTCCACTAAGCCATCCAAGGTGTACTCTCAGTGGCAGGGGAATAACATGAGAGCAGACCCACCAAGGCTGGAGACTGAACAGTTCTGGAAGAGCATATGGGAGAAGGAGGCATCACACAACAACAATGCCCAGTGGCTGGTGAACCTAAGAGCAGACCACAGCAACCTTCCTGCACAAGACCCAGTAACCATCACAATGGCAGACATTCAATCTCAAGCAGCATGAAGAGCTGGACAGCACCAGGCCCTGACATGATCCACACCTACTGGTTAAAGAAGCTAACTTCACTCCAGTCTGGCAAGACAACACAACATGACTGTACTCGTGACAACCTACTTATACCAAAATAAAAATCAACATTGTCATGCTCATTCTCTGTTGACTTTCTTTAGAGATCTAGTCTGTCTGGCTTCCTAGTTACCCGTGCAGACCTCCTCAGTTCAGGTTTGGATACTGGCGTGCCTTTTTTGCAGTCTGAGAGAGATGTGGTGATGTGTGTTCCTTTGATATCACTGTCTAGTGCCTCACTTGCTTGTGGAGTCTTGAATAGGCTGCGGCGGTTTCGCCTGAGAACATGTCCAGCCTCAGTCCTCACTGTAAATGATCGTGGTGCCACTTCCTGTAGTACAGTTCCCTTTGTGTTCCAACCATCAGGATCTTCAATCCGCACTGAATCATTTCTTGCCAGTACTGGTAGCGATTTAGCTGAGGTGTCATAGAAGGTCTTTTGTCTAATCTTCAGCTGCTGTTGTCGTTTTGCCAGCTTTGCATGTGTCTTCCTCTTGACGTTGTAGTTTGGGTAGCTTGGTAATGTGGTACGTAGCTTCCTATTCATTAGCAGTTCGGCAGGCGACAATCCGCACTGAAGAGGAGATGCTCGGTAGCTGAGAAGAGCTAAATAGGGATCTGAGGTACTGTCTGTCGCTTTTTTCAAGAGCTGCTTCAGGATGTGTACTCCCTTTTTTGCTTGTACATTTGACTGTGGGTAGTGTGGACTTGATGTGACATGCTGAAAGTCATACTGCTCTGCAAGCCTTTGCCATTCCACACTGTTAAAACAAGGACCATTGTCACTCACTACAGTGTGTGGGATGCCATGTCTAGCAAATATAGATTTTACATGAGTTATGACGCATGCTGCTGATGCGTTTGTCAGCAACGCCATCTCCGGGTAATTGGAGTAGTAATCGATTACCACTAGATAGTCTTTACCTTTGAAATGAAACAGGTCCATTCCCACTTTGTGCCAGGGTGATGTGGGAAGCTCCATTACCACCATTGGCTCTTTGCTTTGTCTGCTTCTGTGCTTCTGGCATGTCTCACATTTGCTGATTAGTGTCTCAATGTCTTTGTTGAGC